AAGCAACATTGAGATTCTGGAAGGAAGTTTTCCGCCTCAGGAAGAAGTCTATTAAGGAGGACTCGGGCGATAATCTTGCCAGCTACGGACAGCAGCGAGATCCCGCGGTAGTTGCCACAGTCTGACCGGTCTCCCTTCTTCTTATAAATATTGACCATGGAGGCGTCTTTAAGAGCTTGGGGGATTTCCTCCTTTCCCATATATTCTCCAGGAGAGAGTGGAGACAGCTGGTAAGCAGAGGTCCTCCTGCTTTATACACCTCGGCTGGAATTCCATCAGGCTCTGAGGCTTTGTTATTCTTCATCTGTTTGATGGCAGTAGTTACCTCATCCAGGGATGGAGGATAGCTGAGGTGAGTCAACTCTGGATGCTGAGAGACCTGCTGGGTAGTCAGGACATCCACATCGGAGTTTTGGTTGAGGAGCAAATGGTAGTGCTCTTTCCAGTGCTGAAAGGTGTCATGAGTGATTGGTCCATAAAATGTTTTAGTGTAATCAAAAAATTCGCCCATCTTGTATTGATCTGCAATAATTTTACATTTCACATGCTTTACTTTAAACCAGTCATTCTTTAGATTGCGACGTTTGCGCTTAACCGCCGCATTCTTCTTGCGGAAGGTATCAGCTTTGGCCCGAGACTGAGGGTTGTTCTGCCAGTCAGTTAAAGCAGCACATTTATCATCGATGAGTACATTAATTGCCGGGTCATTTTCATCAAACCAGTCCTGCTGCATTCTTTCGATCTGTAGGCTTTTGTCATGAGGGTCGAGAATACCCCATTCAGCACTGGGATTTGGGTTGTAAATTCTCAGGTTGTTTATCAGCCCATGTTCGAGCTGCTCTCTGAAAGCATGTGCTACCACTGGATCATCCAGATGCTTAGTATCAAAACCTCTTCTGGAGGCTTGTTGCCTTCGTCGTTTTGGGGCGACGTGAAGTGAGAGCTTGGCTCTGACGGGCCGATGATCAGTGTAGCAGAGGTCTGAGCCACGCATGGCTCGGGCGATGCAGACATCTCGGCGATCTCTTTCTCTGACAATGAGATGCCAGTGTTTGAATCGTGGATGTTGCCACGAACCCTTGAACTTGTCGGCCTGCCTAAACAAGGTATTGGTGATAGTGAGGTTGTGTGCAGCAAACTTGCTGAGGAGTAGGCCGTTGGGAGTACTCTTGCCTAGTCCATTTCTTCCTATGATTCCCAGCCAAATGTCAGCAACTCTGGCATTGAAGTCACCTAGGAGCACAACCTTATCTTCTCTTGGGATAGAGGTTAGCACTCTGTCAAGGTCAGCATAAAAGGCCTCCTTGATAACATCCTCTGCATCCAGTGATAGGGAGTATGAACTGATGAAGAAGGGGTGATGCGAGTGATTCAGTGGGACTTGGAGAGTCCTGAGACGATCTTTGATCCCAATAGGCATTTCAGTTAGCCTGTGTATGATGCGTTGACAGATGGCAAAGCCAACTCCATGAATGCGGTTTCTCTCCGCAGTAGGCTTAACCTACCAGAAGGTACAGCCAGACCCCCATTCTGTGGGTTGACCCTTGTATGGGAGACGGGATTCACTAATGGCTGCTATATAGATGTTATACCTAGCCAGCTCTTTTGCCATAAGGGCAGTTCTTCTTTCAGGACGCTCATTTGTGCCAGTATCCACAAGGGTCCTGACATTCCATGCAGCGACCAAAAAAGAGTAGTTGCCCAATCAGGTTGGTTCTTTAGGCAGGCTATGTTTAGGGCACCTTTTCTACCCCCCTCCCCATGTGGGGTGAGCAGAATGGCTCCTCAAGAGGGCTGCTCATTCACACAGACAGAACCGGATTACACTGCTGCCTAGATCCCAGTGCATAAATGACCATCTTATTTATGCCGCCCATGTGGAGAGTTGTGACTAGAGACTCCCGGCAGTCATCTCTGCCTGTCCCCGTCGCCACTTGTCTGTTGCCATAGGACATTTGGGGGTATAGGGGTTTTGATGATGATAAGAAGTATGATGAGCTGGGTGATGGCTGCGTGTGAGTTGATTTATGTGGTGAGGCAGGAGCACTGGCTGCAACCACACATCTTGGCTCTCCCTTTTCCTGATCAAGTGGTACAAGTGTTGCAACGACTGGGGAGAGGGAGAGGTTACTCCCTAGGTTAATCCACAAGGCAGCAATGCAATGGTTGGTAGGCGCCAGGACGTTTCCACATGCCAGTGGGCCTATGCACCGTTCCTGTGGGGCCCATCGCTGCTCAAAGATCCTCTGCTGGTCTAGCCTTGGGTTGTGTGTTGCCACGAGGAGTCTTGATGGTGAGGAGGCTGTGTACAGGCAGGGGAAGACTTATGCAAGTTGATTCCCTGTTCGCCACGAGGGCTAGCCAACGGAAGTAGCCGAAATCGAAAGAAAGCAAACAGTGCTTGCACCCTAACACTAACATAATGCTGCCATATTAGATGCATTACACCACCCTGTGTGCACACACACACACCTGGCACAGTCCATCTGTCTTCATTGTTTTGAAGTCAAATTACAAATTTATTTTTCTCTCTAATAATTAATATTTTATATACTGTATTATTAATGGTGAAACATACACCATAAGAAGCTGATCAGATGACAATATAATGAATAGATAAAAACAAACTGGTGATCAAGCCAACAGCTACTCCAGTCCACCATCTCTTGTTGATACTACTGGATAAGATCAGTTCAATAAGCAGGAAACACATTTTTTTTTACCCAAATAATGCTGAATAGTTTATCTAAAGTCTGGGTGAATAAGCGTATGAAAAAAAATTATATGCTACAGGCTTGCGAGGCGCATACACTCAGATACAAGGGAGGACAAGCGACCCGTGTGTGTGTGTGTGGGCTGACTGCATCAACCCTCCCACCCACCTCACTGTACTCCCTCCCTCCCTCCCTCCCTCCATCACACACCCTGCCTCTCTGCTTCCTTTGCCCTCCATAAATGTTTAATTAATAAGAATAAATAGAAAACAGAGATAAGAAGGAAACATTATGTCTGGGGAAAAAGTTATTTTCTCCTCATTCTCTCGTGTTACTGACCTGACCTGATGCAATAGCAGGTCACCCATTGTATATAAACTCTTCTCTCCTTATGAGTGATGCTGGGGTGGGGGAACAGTGGTCTCATATTACTGACCTGATGTATTGTCAGGTCATCCATTGTCAGGGTGGGGAATTAGTGGGTCTCATGACCTCAAGTATAATGTCTTGAATAAAGACAAAAGTAATATACAATACTGTAGTAGTTTATTAAAAAAAATATTTTATACAATAAATTAACTTGTTTATTATCAAAATTTATATGTACACTAGTCTTCAATGGAGATACTGTACTTTGGTTTAATCAGACTGTTATAGGCCTAATGAGAGCTAATAGGTAGATGACACTTGTGTAAACGTGGAGGAGGACGGGGGTCGTGCCTCGTTTGTTTATTATATTCTTGTATGATTAGCCTCTTATGATGGGTTTTAATATCAATAATGCTGCTGCTGTGGTTATCAGCATATACCTAGATCTCGCGCACCTACAGTGATTTACGTGCATACAGTAATTTGTAATTTGACTTCAAAATAAAAAGAAAATGTACAAGGAAACACACATGACATTTTTTGCACATTATAATACAAATTTAAAGGTCATGGTTGAGGACCCCAGACAATCGGCAAGTCCAGACCCCGTTTCCCCCAAATTGTCCGGACTTTCAAGGGTTTATTGTACTGTCTAGTAGTCACTCTGGTAGAGGTAAAAGATGAGTCATTAGCTTGATGGCCCAACAGTGATCTAATAGACTGTGTTTCTCACTCCCTTGTAAGTAGAGTAATACTCATATCTCCAGACAAGTTTGAGAGGATGTCAAATTTGTTGGTAGAAAAGTTAGAGTCTATTGGTAACTTTGAACAGGAGGCTATAAAAGGTGTGTTACTGAGTTGGGTGGCTGTCGCAGAGTAATGTCTTTTACAATATGATTGGCTGCACGGCTATGTTGCTTGTATTTACATGAATGTGGCATGATGTTAGCCGTCGTGTCACCGTATAACAAAAATGACAAAAAGACCTGCCACTTGACATAAATGTGTATCACAAGACACAACAGAATGCTTTAAGCAGTGCCACTCTGTGCCACCACCCATCTTGGTAGATAAGCACCATGTTTATACTTACACATAATATAGATACATTACCAAGAATCAAAACACACTTATACTGTACGTTGGTCACCCAGCTGACCTGAGCCGAATGCACCCGACTGTTTACAGCCAGACATATTCACTTTATCATTTGTGTTTATTTTGTGCCTTTGAGCTGTTATTTTATTGTGAAAATATCAAAAAGAGAAGCAGTTACCTCACTGGGTAATGGTGAGAAGAAGAAAAGAAAGCACCATTTATTATCAATAGTGGAGATGTGTTCATAAAGTTATTTTATTGTCAACACAAGTAACACATTAATAAATGGACATATATTGTACATTCCCAAACACCTACACGTCCATTAAGTCTGGATGTTTACTATACTGGTAACATAAGATACATAGTTTACATACAATCTTATATAATGACCATATAGGATAACTTACAGTATATATTGAGCACCATTAAAGAGTACAGTATGTACTTTATACTAGAGTACGGTACAGTGAAAAAAGTGAAAGTGGGTCCCATAGGCATGACTGCCTGTTAAAGACAGAGTGGACACAACACACTGTATACTAAGCCTTCAGTACACAAGGAGGCAGCATGGCCGGTACTGCACTCGACTGCATTCACTTCCCCAAGTTATAAACTCAGGTACCCATTTACAGCTGGATGAACTGGGAGCGCCCGGGAATCGAACCACCGATCCCCGGAACAGGAGCCAAGCGCTGTATCTGCTCGACCCCCTGGCTCCTTCTCCCTATACACTACTGAACATAAAGGCAAACACTACTAACCTGTATTTATCAATTAATAAGAGTCGCTCCTTGTCAATACAATCATATATATACTGGACATGAAAGGAGTCCCCAGTTTTGGGAGCCTCTTCTCCTTTGGACACCAAGTGTATTGTGTGTGGTCCCGTAGTTTCAGTCATTTCACCACCCCAACACTGAAATAAAACACACATGATTAAATATAATGTACTGTACAAGAGAGGTAGCCACTCTGAGGGAGACCCAAAGCATAAAATGCCTCCCAGCAGTTAGCTGGGAGGCAGAAAACAACTTTAATTTGTAAAATATATCTAGATATATATAACATCAGACTAATAATACAAAACAATTTAACCCTTAAACAATGACAACTGTAAATAGAAGATGAGTGCCTATTGTTCAACAATGATGGTGACCATCTATATAATCAGGAACTTTCACCGCCATAATCTTTAAATTTGGCGCCTGATTTCTGTTTTGAGTGATTTATTGTAACCCTTCCTTCCTTGTGCTGGTCATCCCCCCTCCTGTACAGTACAGGGGTCATTGCTATACTGTAGCTACTCTGTACCAGTATGTGCCATTCACATAAATGCCACTAACAAATACAGGAACAAAATTTCATTATATGTCAAGTGTCTCACACAGCTACCGTATACTGTACGTCATTGTCATCTGCATCATCCACTCTTTTATACTAGGTAAGTCTGTGTTTACCCAAATCTGACACATAAACAGCGTCAAAGACATCTATTATAATGTAAAAATAATCATAATAAGTAATGAAAGTGCCCTACAAGTGTTTAGATTCCAGCACGCTAAAATACATCAATCACCTCTGACACGACCGTGCACTAATGCCATTGTTATATGATGTAAGCAACCACAGAATTTGTAAAGTCATTCCAATGTGCTAGTCTACCTTATGAATAAGGAGAATAAGGTATACTGTACAGTAATACAGTAATATCTCCATATCAGATTCAGATTTGCCCCCGAGGGGGCTAGTTTATTGGGCACCCCCTTACATCCTGTGCAAGGTGAAGCGCAGAAGCGTTTACAGCGCCCAACAGGGAAGTATGAAAAGTTCATACTTGCCTTTATGACTCGTACATTAAGGGCGTAAAAGCCTGAAGGGTCATAGGTTCTGTCAAGTTACATAAAGTGAGAGAATGATGAGTGTGTGGGGGGAAAGTTCCCGGTACATTTTATCTGTTTATGGCAAAGTGTGGCAGGTCCCTAATAATGTCAAATGACAGGCCTGTGACTAGGAGGAGGGATCACTGGTCTGGGAGGGAAGAGGTGTTGGTAACGGCTGGGGACCTGTAGGAGGAGGTCATAGGGCAAGTGAGGATGTAGTGAGAGAGGGTGTGAGAGTCGGGTTATCTCCATATCGGGAATCCCTCAAACCCGGAACTCTCTGATAGCCGGAATTTAAATTTTCTCGGAAAATCATTCCCAAAGCCGAAATTTCCGGCTTTGGGAACACTTCCGGAAACTTAAGATAAAATTTTCGGGGATGGGGGAGTTTTTTCCCCCAGGTTTGAGAGATGAAAATCAGGCGCATTTTCTGGAAATTCAGAGAATATCTTCCGTTACCGCAAAATTCTGGGAATGAGGAATTTTTTTCGGCCTTTGAGAGTCGTCTCGTAACCCGGAAATCTCTCATTCCCAGAAGTGCTCTGCACCAATTGATCCAGCTAATGGAGATATCACTAAAGATATAATAATAAAACATAAGAGTGTAGGGGTATAATCTGTATGGGAAAATACAGTCAATAAATCACCATAACACACAGGCAGCTGTTAGAAGGATGTAAAGTGCCTTTGTTACATAGGAAACCATAAAATTTATGGACATATCATTTCAATGATCAATTGTGACTGAGAAATAAATAAAATTAATTATAAAGTAAGACAAATGAAGAGTGGGAAGTGAGTTGTGTGTGAGAGAAGTGGGGGTAGGGCATGGCTGGCAGGTGGAGCCTGTGACCCCTGTAATGTGGGAAGTGAGTTGTGTGTGAGAGAAGTGGGGGTAGGGCATGGCTGGCAGGAGGAGCCTGTGACCCCTGTAACACAACATTGCAGTATGCAATTTCACCATAATTCTCATATTACAGTTTTCAGACTTATTTGGTACCCGGTTAATAAAACATTATCATAAAATAATAAATCTTCCAGAAAAAACAAAAAACACACAACCTCATTTACAGTACAGGCACACCCCAATAACCGACCCACACAGGGACCAGGAAAAGTTGTTGGTTAGTGAATCAACGGTTATCAAAACAAACAATCCCATAAGAACTTAACAAATTCTGGGGGATAGAGACCAGCCACCTTCCAAATACTCCCATCTACCCTTGATATACTGTACAGGATATCTCTGTATTGGACATTGTCAAGGAAGAAAATAAAGCAGATATATAAAGCAGCATAATAAGCCTTACATAAGCAATGTAAAGCAGAGGCGGGAAATATAAAGTTGTTCGCAGGCATATTTCCAGCCTCTGCTGATGGCCGTGTAATATTTTAATATGATACTGATCTTTAAAATGTTAGTTTTTGCACAATGTATTATTACTGTTATGTAATTTGTCTTAGTATGCCTTATTGTGGGTTAAAACAAGTACCGTATTTGCCGGCATATAAGACACACCCCTATTTTACACGGATATATTGTGGGAATTTTTTTAGCATGTTTCATCATACTGTACATTTATTGAAAGTGATTTTAATGAGCTTTTATAGGGGAAAACATATGGTTTTATGCATGTAAATACAATACTCTATACAGTAAAGCATCCGATAACAACAGTTCGACCAACAACTTTTCATATATAAAACCCTAGTTAATTTAGAACCCAATTCAATTTACGTCCTTATTTCATTCGTAATTACGACCAAAATATAATAAAACTAAATAAAATTACACTTTCATATAAATAATAACTAAATCCCGATATGTATTATAAAAAAAAAAATTACCGGTACAGGTTGTACCTCTCTAGTCCGGCATTCTGTGGTCCGGAAGCTCCCGTGGTCCGGTAGATAGGCAGCTTTTTTTTTATATAACTTATCTGAATTATTATTATTATTATTACAGGAGTATTAAATTTTCGCCCATCAGGCCCCAATGTGGGTCAGTGACCTATGCCCGGGTGGGCTAATCCCCGTAAAAAAAACAACAACAAAGCCGCGGGAAATTAAGGTTTGTTTACATCCGGCAGTTCGGCTGCTCTCTCTCTCTCTGCTTGTACATACAGAGTACAACATTTAACCCTTCAATATATACGAGCAGTAAATAAATGTTGCTTTCATATTCTTATGTAGAGTAATGACGATATGTTTACACATGTGCGCACTTACATACGCGCAGTCTCACTTTTTTTCTTTACCAATAATGGTTAGCTACTTATATTGTTCCATTTATTAACATTAAATAACATTACTTCAAACAACCATATTAATTTTTTTACATTAATTTTACTACAGCTACAATCAGGGTCTTATTTTCTTCAGTTTTATATGTAGAACCAGTCAGTCACTGGTTTTGTAAACAACGAAAACAAAGCCGTCTCGTCTCCTCGTGTGTTTTAATATTCTACGTATTATTAATGAATTGCATTGCTCATTTTGCACACATGAACATTAATTCAATCAAAAAGACATTCAGTAATAAACAATAATGAATCCTTTGTACATAAGAGAAATGACGCTGTTTACACGATTGTGCACATCTGAACGTTGGTGAGCCGTTCAAACTCCTCGAAATTCGAGTTTCCGCTGTCAAAATTTTTAATTTTTTTTTGTGTTCCAATAAAAAAACGTTGAATTAAAAACTCGCGAAATTTGAGAAGCTACTGTACGACATCTAACCCTTCAATATGTCTTCAGAGACACCATGAAGCAGAGAAAGTGGTGCTAGTGCTTCCAAGCGTAAGCACAAGTCACTATCTATCCAGGAAACGGGTGAATTTCCAAGGTCCGGAAATTTCCATGGTCCGGCACCGGTCAGGTCCCGAGGTTGCCGGACTAGAGGTACAACCTGTACCGTAAAAAAAAATGAAGAGCGCCTTGAGCAAAGAAGCTGCCTGGCTAATGAGTGGTAAACAACAGTTGGAGCTTGGCGGGCCTTATGTATTCACGCATCTGGAACAGGAACAGGAGAAAAACTTTCTCAGGTTTCTTACAGCATTTTTGCATCCCTATTCAACTTGAGCAAGAGAGAAAGTGATGGTAGTGTTGGTTCAAAAGCTAATAGAAAGTGTATAAGCTTAGTCGAGAAACTAGATGTGTTAAAACGATATGAAAAAGGTGAGAGGTCTGTGGATATTATATGGAGCAAGCAATGAACATATTTTCTGAAGTGGAACCATTAACAGAACGAAGCATTAAAATTTAAATAAACGCAAATGACCTCTACATAAAGATGTATAATGAGAAAAGAAAGCAGCTGTGCAAGGTTCTTTCGACAGCTTTATTATTCGAAGGCCTAAACCACCAACTTTATCTACACCATCAAATTCAGCATCATAAGCAGCTTCCACATCAACTTCAGGTTCTGTCACAGTTTCAGCAACAGCTCCTTGGGACGGTTGGTGGGGGTGGGTGGGGGGGGAGGGAGGGACCGACCGACCATCTGTTACCCTGTGAAGAATTTTTTTTTTTTTATTAACTGAAGATATTTGTTTTAGCTCATAAAATTCATACAAATTACCCGGTCAGAATATAATTTACATTGCTGGAATTCTTATAATTTGGTGATCATTTTGAATATAAACATCATATATTTTGCATTAGACATACAAATTTTAGATAACATTTTTTCTCTGGGTAACTATGTTATCTTTTGTGCAAAATATATGACATTTATATTCAAAATATTCCTGGTCTTACAAGGAATCCAGCAATGTCAATTATATTATCCTAACTTTAGTTTGAGGTATTATTTATTACAAAAAAGTTAAGTATTCTGGTTTTCCCACACATCTCCTTGGGACGGTTGGTGGGGGGTGGAGGGGAGGGAGGGACCGACCGACCATCTGTTACCCCGTGAAGAATATTTTTTTTTTTTTATTAACTGAAAATATTTGTTTTAGCTCATAAAATTCATACAAATTACCCGGTCAGAATATAATTTACATTGCTGGAATTCTTATAATTTGATGATCAT